CCACTCTCAAGCCTACCCAGAGCACAGTTTGCTGTCCTCTGAAGATGCCGGCCACAGAGACTGGCGAAATGTTAGGAAGAACCACTTTCAGAACATGGCCAAGAAGCCCAAAAAACCCACAACAACCATTTTGTCTTTGTCTTTGCTTTTGCATTTGTTTCTTGTTAGGTTTTGTTTTGTTTTTTGCTCCTACCATATAATGAAAAGGACTTTTTTTTCAGCAACAGGGTTTTTCATTTTTAAAATTTTTGGCATGGAACACAAAGTTTTATGGACAAAATACCAGACTGTCTGCACAAAATAAGAGTTCTTCTCTGCAAAATTTGTATGTGTGTGTGTGTGGGGGAGAGATACAAAATACACATTTGCACATTTTTCCAAAAAAAGGTCTGAATGCCAAAAATCCACAAAACCTCTCATGATTCATCCAGCGGAGAGAAGACTTTTAAATATGCCTTTTCTCAGCTGCAAAAAAGACATAAGCAAAATTTTTACAGCCCTAACATGGAGTGTGCCGTGCTGGGTTCCAACCACGAATGTCCTCCTCTGGTATATTTCATTCCATCCAAGTTTTCCTTGGTTTTTGATCTGTCTTCCCTAACAAATACTTAAATATATGTGGTCACTCAGCATATATAGTCCTTTATGGTTGCTTTGATCATTACTCTCCACTTCCTCTTAGGGACTGTTTCTACCATTTGTTTCTACTACTGCAGACCTTGGGTTTCCTCAAGCTTGCTGATCCTTTGCTGGACAGTAATATTTTTGCTACTAGGATCAACACTGAGCATAAATTCAACCCTGATACTAGGTTATTTGTTTGCACAAAAATATTGAAGAAGCCAGATTCTATTTCACAAGCAGATACATAGCTCTGTAAGAGAAGATATTTTTTTTCACATTATTAGAGTTTCAACCTAAAACAGTTAGAAGGCTCCAAGGTGAGGAAGGTTATCTTATGTTAGAGAATATCAAGGAAATTGTGAGAACGTGGGGCCAGATGTTGAGACAGGAAGACTCTTCCAAACATGAAGAGTAGCTATACATGAATTAATGTGTCTTGCAATTCAGAGTTTATGAACTGAAAGGCAAAATTGATGGTAGACATGAAGAGAGAGGCATCTATTCCTTCAGGATAAATGAGTACTAATTCCTTCCTTCTGTTTGCTTAATTGCATAGAACCAGAAAATAGAAACATTTCTTTTTTGGAAAATGACTTTAAGAACCCCCATGTGGCCATGCTGGCTGGAGAATTATGGGAACTGCAGTTCAAAAAAAGTAACTTGTCTAAGTTCCCACTTTACTTGAGTTATGTAGGAATTCGTTTCCCCAAAAATAAGGCAGGGTCTTGTATTAATTTCTGCTCCAAAAAGCACATTAGGGCTTATTTTCAGGGGAAGTTTTATTTTACAGTCATGCCATCTTCTTCTGGTTGCTGCACAGTGTTGCACAATGGCGGAGGGTGGGGTTTCACTTAACTGGGGCTTATTTTGGGGTAGGGCTGATATTACGAGGATTAGATGGTGTTTCAGTAATGTAGGCAATTCAGGCACGATGTTCAGGCCCAGTGAGGGTATACAAAAGTAAAGTACAGTGATTTTAATGTTGGGGATCGGTCCGAAAGTTAATCTTAAAAGGTTTATTAGCCAAATAGTTTAAAAGCATACAAGACCAGAGATGAGGTCATTTCTGCATATGTTACTTGAAAGTAAGAGGAAAGAGTAATGCATAGGAAATGGAAGGTGGTGACCCCTGTTACTAAAACAATTTCATGTGTGAATTATCATGCACTTTGCAAAATTACTGTTTAGGCTTTTCAAGTTCTTTACTCTAGACTGTTAAGTACCTTTCCATGTTATTTTTATATAGAAATGTTTTTGAGAAATGTAGTAGTCCGAAGCTTTAAATGAGAAAGCAGCTTCACAGTAGACCACAAAAGGATGAGCAGAGGTGAGAACAGAGGAAGGAAGAGAAAAAAATAAGAGAACTGTGGGCTGGAATGCAACTTTCATTGTGTTTAATATGAAGAGTGAATTCCCAAATAAATCTACTGCCCCTGTGTTTTGCAGTTTCAAACATAATACAGGTGGTAAACCAAATTGCAGCAAATAATTCTGATTCAGCTTTTCATGGTAATCACACCCTTAGTCCTGAGCAGATGCAGCAGGAGTGCTTATCAACTATCAGTTTCTGGTCTTGAGAAGAATCAAGGCAGCCACACATCAATAAGGAAAGGAACTGGCCAGATCGGAGAGGCTGTAAGAGGAAACCAAAATGAACACATTTTCTTAAAGTGCTGCCCCAAGTAATAGGAATGTCTTTAATATTTTACATAATCATCTAGTGGAAGCTGGGGGTACATTTCCATGTCATGTACATGCTGATCCAGTACAGAGCTCTAGACAGTGTCGGAATGTATTTTGAAATAAATCATTTTAAATGTGTTTTCTCAGGGGAGCAAAAGGCACAGGGGAAGAATAGGGAGAGAAGAGCTGCAGAGATAGATGTGGCCATTGCTGTGATAGTATAATTGAAATTTATGAGCAAACAAGGAAAGAAATTAGCATGTGGCATGGAGAGGGGCAATGATGATAAATAATTCAAAGGGAAATGAGTGCACAGAAGGGAGGTGTATGTAGAAAAATGGCAGACTGAAGCAGGGAGTCGAAAAAGTCCCAAGGGAATTGAGCAAAGTGCCCAGTAGGTCAGTTGAGTCAAATGTAGGTTTGATATTATTTAATTATGACAAAGACAGTGAGTCATTTATTTGCCTCATGCACTCCCTTCTGCCTTATCTGCTCAGGGCCAACAGCATCTCTCTTTGCTTCTGGTCCACACAGGCTTTCTGTTCTTGAGCAACCAGAATCATAATTTTAAACAATGCTACCACTCCTGGCTGCCAGTGCATTCTTCCTATACAGGAAAGCCATGAACAGCAACTCAGTGTATGATATTTTTTTTCTCTGACAAGTTGTACTTCCACTCCAATCACACCCTCAATATCCATAGATGCAAACCACTTCCTTCTATCCTGGAAAATTCCACGTAGTTTCAGTTCTATCTCCTTTTCTGCTGTACAAAGAGCAATCTCAGTGAACAACCGCCACAACATATATAGAATTTTCAAGTGTACACAGAGCTAATATTAATTATGTGTCACCAAATCAATTTCAGTTTATGGAAACCCTTTCCACGGTATTCTAGGCACAAAGTAATCAGAAGTGGTTATCCATCACTTTCTTCTAACAGCATCCAAGACTGTGCAGTTTGCTGAAGGCTACATAGGCTGATTCTTCTCCCAGAAAGCACAGTGAGGATTCAAACTCCTTACTGCTGCCTTCACAGTCAGGTATTCCAACTCATTGAGTTATTCTTATAACACACCTAAAAGGTAAGTATCAGTATCACCATCTCCATGTACACAGCTGGAGTAGGGCAAGTTGCCAGCTTTGTTCATGGAGAAATGAGGTTCAGAGCAGAAAGGAACAGCTAGATTTTCAGGTTTGTCATTTAGCCACTACATAATTCCAGCTGAGCACATTTTGTTCCCCGTGCCTTCAACCTAAGTGCCCCTTCACCACAAACAACTTTGATCATCACCTTATATCCAAAACCATAACCACTAAAGTTCTCTCTTATTTCACTACAACTCACTGACTATACTGTTGGCATGATACAATGGAGGCATGTTCTCTCCTACCAGTTCCCAGTTCCAGACAGTGCTACAGAGAATCCACTTTGCATCCATGCAAGCAATCCTTTTGTCTAATGCAGCAATACCCAAAGTTGGGTCTCCGATTCTTGCTACTGGACTGAAAATCCTAGAATCTTAACTATAGATAACAATGACTGGGTCTTCTGGGAGCTGAAGTCCAACAACATCTGGAGACCTAAGTTTGGTTATCAAATACTTACCCTTCAAAATGGACACTGGCTGCAAACTCCAACATGGATGATGCTCACAGCTGCAGCTCAAAAGGGGAATGGAAATCCGCCTTTGCTAGCACCTGCAGTTGGGCAACACCCCAAACAGATGCCTCTACTTCTCCCATGCTTCTCCACTCCTAGGCCCCTTCTGCCTTATAGTATCTTACTTGTACATTTCTTGATGGCGCTTCCTTTCTTGAGAGCATGGCGACTCAGCTTGCAGTGAAAGTTATCCTCCCAAAATTCAGCAAACCATATGTTCCGACGGTTATTGTCCAGTGTCCTACTGGAGAAATAGCGATCAAAACCTGATGAAAGAAGCAGATGATGGATAAATAAATGCTTGGAGTCAAAACATATGGGATCAGGTACATGTGGGGAAAAGGGGGAAATCTATCACTTTGATATCTGACCACATATAAAATAAAGAATTGTGTTGGAAATAAAACAAGTAGGTAAATAAAATAAAGATAGTCTGCATCCATTTCAATTAGGGTTCAGTATGACATGGTACTAAAACAACACTGGTCATCCTGCAAAAGTTGATCTTCTAAGAGCGGCAGACAGGGGGAGTATGACCCTCCTGGTCCTCCTGGATCTTTCTGCAGCCTTTGTTACAGTTGATCATGGTATCCTTCCGAGATGGCTATCGAGTTTGGGGATTGGCGGTTCTACACTTTGTTGGTTCCATATTCTGCTCTCTACCATTCACACTTGCTGAAAAACAGTACTGACAATTGCTTTGTATTTGGGTGAGAAGTGGATAACTCCTGAAAAAAAGAGTCAGCTTCTGGGATATTCCCTTGTGTGGTATCACTTTGTGAATGGTAGTGAACACACGAGGATATCCTGTAGACCATATTGACCACTGTCCTTGGTGTTGTCAACATTCAGGCTGCCCTTTGTTTATTTAAAGCTTAGCATCCTTTTTTCTGCTGGCAACGCTACCCTTGGTGCTGTCAACATTCAGGCTGCCCTTCGTTTATTTAAAGCTTAGCATCCTTTTTCCTGCTGGCAACACAGGCATGATATTTTGCAGCAATATTGTGCCTTTTTTTTTTTAGTTTTTTGAATCATAGTACAGAAGTACAGTATTCTACATTCATAAACAGGAGGGTCTTTTAAAAGAATTAAATGTTACAATATGTAAATATGAATCAGCATTTGTAAGGCTTATAGTGCATTCTATTGGCAATGATAATATTTTGAATTCATAACAGTTTAGCATTTCAGCATTTTAGGGTGACAATTTTCTGGTGATATAGTATGATAAGGTCCTAATATTACGGGGGCTTTATGCTACAGAGTCTGCAGAATTTTAGCCATAAGAAAGGGGAGGAAAAAGATAATGAAACAAGGCAGAGAGAAGACACAGAACACATGGATTTTCCTCCATGGATCTTAACTGGAAGACGGCTGGGTGAGCATTTGGAAAATGTGTTATATTTCTCTGTGTGCTATCAATATGCTTAGAAGCTAAGAAAGTCAGTTAGTTTATATATTCTTACTTTTAATAACTTTGATAAAACAAAGGGGAGGAAAAAGGTAATGAAACAAGGCAGAGAGAAGACACAGAACACATGGATTTTCCTCCATGGATCTTAACTGGAAGACGGCTGGGTGAGCATTTGGAAAATGTGTTATATTTCTCTGTGTGCTATCAATATGCTTAGAAGCTAAGAAAGTCAGTTAGTTTATATATTCTTACTTTTAATAACTTTGATATTTTTAATTGCTTTTTAAGTAAGTCTGAAGTTTACTTAAAGTTATAAAATGCTTTTTTACAATTAAATAATATGTCTTAGAGCTGTATTCTGTCTTTTGTTTTTAAATGATCTTTAGTAGGATACAAGGTCCTGTATTTTTTAGAATGTGACTTAAAATATTCTTTTAGCCTTTTTACTGTACTTTGCTCCTGTATTTTAGATTCAAACATGATTTAAGTTGTGCCTATAATTTAAGTTTTAACACCTGCATCTTTTTTACAAGTGACAAGGAAGGATTTTTTAAAAATATTTCTGCCTATAGTTTTCTTCATAGCTATAATACTTTTGCATTACAATAACTCTAAAGTATTTTTTGTCTATGGAACATAGAAACAATGCAGATAAATAAAGTTTATAGAAAAAGATAAGCTAATATTACCTGGAGCTGTTGCAACAGTGAAGAGATTTATACTTGATACTCAGAGGAATATTGATATGATTGTCAACAATTGCTTGGTTTCATTCTGGAGTTAACCGTTAACTGGACAAAATGCCAGCAGTGATGAACACAGGCTTCTTATTTTCCTCTGGCTGTCTATAGAGTTCTACATTACTCTTAGGAAGCATCAGGTATCAGGTTCTCGAATCTGGCATTATATCCCCGTTTTGGCACATCTTCATTGGCCTCCTGTTAGTTTTTGTGCTCAATTCAAACTGTTGGTTATAACTAGAGAAGGGCACGAGTCAGAAAAATCGTGATTCATTTTTATTTGTGATTCATCAACATTGATGAATCACAAATTATGAACTTACAAAATATTTTGACAAATCAATAAATCAATTTGTCAATACATTTTTTATTATTTTAAAACCTTATAAAATGCCCCCCAAGCATCTAGAGACACTACTTTTACAGGGAAACTTCCCCTGATTCTCCTCTACAAGCTCTGCACATTTGGTGAAGTTTGGGTTTCAGATGTCAAAGTAACACACAAAAAAGAGGGGCAGGAAAGTTCCCCCTGGGCACACAGAGGCACCAAAATAACAGGCAAGCCTCTATTGACTCTCCTCTACAATCCCACCACATTTGGTGAAGATTGGGTTCCAGACGTCCAAGTTATACACCAACAAACTGGGTCCCCCAGGAAAGTGCCCTTTAGCAGCTGGCTTGAGGAAACCCAATCTTCACCAAACTTGGAGGGATTGTAGTCGGGGAAGCTTCCTTGCAATTTTAGTGTCTCTAGGTGCCTGTGGGGGGGCACTTTATAGCCAAATGAACTGATTAATCAAAAATTGCTAATTGATTCGTATTTGTCAGAGGCTTTGATTCGAATGATTACAAATCAATGAATTAGTGGTTTTTGAACCAATCTGGTGATTCATTATTTAATCATGCCCATCTCTAGTTATGACCTATAAAATCTTAACAGTTTAGGACCCTGATACTTCTTGGAATATTTCTTCCAGTAATCAGCTATCTGTCCAACCCATTCCTCTGAATTCATGTTTATAAAACCAGCCACACCAGTGAAGGTGATGAAGATGAATACAAGCAATCATGCTTTTTCTATTGTGGCCCCTACTCTCTGAAATAAACTGATGACAGAGATGCCTCAGGCTCCTTTCCTCCTTATGTTTAAAAAGATGGTAAAGAAGGAATTATTTAAAGCTGTCTTGATTTTTATAGAGTTATTCATAGTTGTAGTTATAATTATTGTCTGTTCTATTGCTGTCTTGTTTTTGCATGTATTTTCATAAACTATGGGGCATTATAAAATTTAATCTCATGTAAACTACCCAGTCTACTGCTTGCACTCATGCAGTGGTATATAAATTGAATAAGAAAGCCAGCCAGCCAGTCAGTCAGTAAAGAGTGTGCATTAACGTAGTGAACACTGAAGATTTTTAGACTCTTTCAAAAGCATATGCACCACAACAGGAGACAGATTAAATCTACCATAGAGTTTTGTGTCCATTACAAATTAGGAAATATATTGATGTTTGAGGAAGAAGAAGGGAACTCTCTCCCACGGGAGGCCAGACTGTCCCATCTTTGATATCTATCCTTCCACAAGCAGGCAAACACCCTTCTCTTCAGGCACGTCTTCCCTTAGTAAAACAGCTAGCGTGTGGTTTTTAGATAGATTGTTATACATTACTTGTTATACTTTGGCTGGATTTTTTGTACTACATGTGTTTTCCAGATTGGCTTTTTAATATACTTATTGATCTTTGCCTTAATATTGCCTGTTAATTTCGTAAGTTGCCTCCTTTTTAATTGTTTGTAGTTTCAAATATTGTCTTCCTATTATGTTAACCACCGTTGCATACTCATCGTTTTCAGCTTTCAGTACTGTCTTTCATTGTTGTAAACTGCCCTAATTCCTTTTTCAAGGATAAAGGCAGGGTAAAAATATCTTAGATTGATAGACAAACAGAGAGAGAGAGAGAGAGAGAGAGAGAGAGAGAGAGAACATTCTGAGCAATAATTACTTATTCAGAAAAGTGTTTGAGGATCTGCCTTTCTCTCCCATAAGAGGAGGATATCTACAGCTAGATTTACGTAGACTGATTCACATTACTATTTTTGAGTCATTTGGTTAACTAGAAAAGCCCCCCCCCCCAATTCTAACGTACTACCATGTTTCCCTGAAAATAAGAAAGGGTCTTATATTAATTTTTGCTCCAAAAAAAACATTAGGGTTTATTTTCAGGGAATGTTTTGTTTTTTTAATGTACAACAATCTGCGTTTATTCAAATACAGTCATATCATCTTCTTCTGGTTGCTACACAATGGTGGAAGGCGGGGTTTCACTTAACTAAGGCTTATTTTTGGGATAGGGCTTATATTACGAGCATCCTGAAAAATCATATTAGGGCTTATTTTTAGGTTAGGTCTTATTTTCGGGGAAACGGTAATATCTTACAAAATGGTATATCATTTTGGTAACCATGCAGCTCTCTCTTCTTTCAGTGAGTTCAGTGCAGCTTACATACTTCTCTCAAGTGCTTTCTGTCCAGACCTTATTCAAGGCCAAAACCACTTAAATTCAACAACAGAACTGCTACTATATGTTCATGCAAACCATTCTTTAGTAGTAAAAGACATAAAACAGTAGCTATTTTATAGTGTCCACTTAAGATATTTTATCACATCATTTCCTTTCAATATAGAGGGATGATGTAGCAAAATGTGGTACTCTAATTTAATTCTTTGCACTCGAGACAAGCACACCTGCATAGCCTGTTTCTACTAGTTAGTTTCTACCATCTAGATCTTAATGTGCCATAAACAGTTCACTCATATAAATAAAATTCATAATGCCAGAGGTGCCCTAGGGCAAGGAATACATTCAGATGTCTCAGAAAAGAAAGTTGAGTCACAAGCTGCAGAAGAAGGTCAGAGCCCTCCAGGATCAACATTGAAGCCAAAGGGGTAACTGTGGTAATGATCAATGAATAGTATTCAGCATGTGAAAGAGAAATATCTCTGTCAGAACAAACTTCAGTGTTCAAAGTTTCAAGAGCGGAGTTTACCAAATTAATACCCTCCTCCTCATTTCTACCTTTCACAAATTATATTATCCAACAACTGTGACAA